TGTAGGTCCAAGCTATAATACTCGTAATACTATATGATACGTAGTGTTCGTCATACTGGGGCTGAGTGAGTGATGTCTTATAATATAGTGTTCTATTCAAATAAAACGGTAAATACTACTATTCTATATATATGTATTTATGTACCTTTCATTGATATTATATTTACTCTACTGACTTAATCAATTAGTATACGGATCTTCCTTACGTACTATCTATGCTATTATTGTACGCTATATCTAATTTATTCCTACGGTAGATTGTATATGAGCATATGTATCTATTTATAATAATTATGTTTATTATATATCATATTCGATGTTGATAGTGAATATTTTATGCTATATATTTTATTGGTGTATATTATCATTTAATATGTACTATGTCATATTAACTTCTCATATATTGTATGCTAACTCTATCGCTATATATGTATATGTTTATTGTATATATACGCTATATGTGATATACTATATTTATCGTAATGTATCTACTATAGTACTTTACACTGTATACTAATGTATTATGTATATAAGATTTATTTATGTATATGACTATGAAGTTTATTATATTATTTTTGTTCTTTTCCTAGTAATAATTACTATATATTATATGTACTAATTAATTTATATATATATATCATATACTTTTGGTATAATGGTTAGAATAAAATATATTAATACTTATATGTATATGCTATATATAAATTTATTACTATATTTATGTGACTAGTGTATCTTATATATACTCTGAGTATTATATGATTATATGACAATAATACTATATTATATTATGTAATATAGCTATATATTATATAATATTTTTTTTTTCCTATATGCCGCTAGTACACTATATATATATAATATTATTTGTCAATACTGCTCATAGTATCTATAGACTATTTATGTTATAGTATATGAGGAAGACGAATAAGCCTAATATATATTACTGCTCCGCATCCCTCCTGCTCTCCATGTCGTTTGCTTATTTAAGATATAATTATGTTATTTACTCATATTATACCTATCTATGCACGATCATAAGCATATTATGCACGGCGTCCTACTATCATGAGTGAGTTTTATGTATTATACGTGGTAAAAGTAAATCTACTTACTAATATGCAACTGTTATTATAATTAATGTGCTTTATATCATGTATTAGTATATATACGATATATATAATTATGAGGGTAATAATATGCTAATAGCCGTATCTTAAATTATACTAATATCTATTATATGTCCTACTTATACTATCTATTATTCACAAAATATAGATATATACCACCTTTTATTATATATATGTGCCTTATATAATGTTTATATTATGGGTCTATAATATATATGTAGATATATAAATGTTTATTATATGATGAACCGCTATATGCAGGAGCGTAACATTTATTGTGAGTAATAGTTAATATATATATGTATGATACCATATAGCTGTAACAATATCTATAGTCATATGTTTTTACTACTCTGATGGTAGCTTATATATATTTAAGAAGTTAGTACATTATTTAATTATTTCGGTAAATTTATTTATTCTTAATCTATACTATATGTATCTATAGGCAATACCATTATATATAAGTCATAAATAACTACATATAACTTAATGATTGTAATTGATTATATATATTTTAATATAGATAAAGTACTTAGTAATATATATATTTATATGGTGCTGTATATTATTATTATAATAGAGACTTTACACGTTTCTAGATATTTAAGACTATAGTATAATACAGTAATTATTTAAATTAATATATATATGATATATATTTAGTAGTTTATGTGTATTAGTGTATAATATAAAAAATAAATAATATCTAGATAAATAATGATGAGGTACATATAAGATATCATATGCTATCTAAACAAAATATTTACAGCTATTTTCGTTTAGCAGAATATTTAGTTATTAAGTTATCTATATCATGTGTATACTATTATTATATTGTGACTGTACTATTATATGTGACGTGCATAGTTGTATTATCGTTAATTCATATAATATTATTAGAACGCTCTATTTACGTCCATATTATACGAGAAATCACATACGTATATATCATAATTTATATGATATTTTCTATCACGTATATACCTAAATATATAGTTACATGACTTATATAATACTATAACAATTTTAGTATATCATACAACAACAACACGACACACACACACAAAAATTAGTCACATATGTATTTATTATATTAATGAGCTTACTGGTGCACACCTACATAGCTATATAATGATAATACTATAATATTAACATTCTGTAACCTTGTATTTTTTTATACTATATTTTATAGCATAAATAACTTCATCCTATAATTTTTATTATTACTACTTATCTCATTACATAATTTATGTGTATACGCTATATATATCATGTATTTATTCTATTTTTACTGACCATAAATTATCTTCAGTCGTTACTTAGTGAGTTATGCTCTATATAACAAATGATAATATCAGAAATAATATAGTACACTATTTAAGTATAAATTGTATACTATATATTTATGTTAATATAAGATATTATACTATCTCTTATATGTATATGATGTGTTTAATATACTATTATATACCCTAATATTATTTACTCATATTTTCATATTTATACTTAAATAGAGATATATATATATCTCATAATAACATATATATAAATTTTATATCATATCACCTTATTTCCTTTATACTCCTTATACTCTTTTCATACTTATCAATATGAATCAAATATGTATCATTATAATATATTTATTGTATCGTGTACTTTGATATATATGCATATAATGCGTATTATATTTACTACTATATTTTTATGCACACTATGTATTATGTATACCTATATTGTCATGACAGTCGTATATGTTCACTCCTTCTCTCTTTCTCTGTTATATTCGCTTTATATGTACCTACTACTTTATATTATCTGCTATGTTATATTATATACTCTGCTTCTCTCTTCCCTTTATCCTGTAATTATGTTATTCCTATTCTCTTCGTCTATCTTTTACCCATATTTATACTACATATTATTCCTTCTTTATGTATCGCTATTACTTCACATTTCTTACTGATTTATATCTCTATACACCTTATATTATCTCATACTTTATTCATTGTACTATTTCCATAATCTACATATTTCTCCTGCGCCAGTTTACTGATATTTATCCTTCCTTGAACTATATAATATGTGTAGTGTAATACTGTAGTAGATAAAAGTGATATATATAAGGTCCCATATATATATATTTAATATAGTGAGTAATAATAATAGATATATATATAACTATATATATCGCATTTAAGTGTATTAATGTTATATATATATTATGTATATGCGTACCTCTCTACATTACTTGTACTATATATATTACCTGATATTATCTGATTGATATCTATACATATATTAAATTGTATATGAAATTATATATATTATTTATGAATATGGCTTATCTATTATTATTACATTTATGCGATCACTAGTGATATATGGAAAACTACATTTTATTTATATATATATTATATGCCTAATATCAATTGGTTTATATACTATATATGAGATTGATTAGGAAATATGTCTTAACATATCCGACGGGAAAAAACAAATATATATCTATACAGCACTTCCTATATCAATATTACATGACCCTATATATATATATAAAAAATATATCAAAGGTATAAATTACTACCTTTATTTTTACTAATACTTCATGCTATTATATGAATATAACCTATATAATATATAATATATACTACTATATATATTACACTATCATAGCGATAGGACATATTCGATGTAGAATACAAGTATTCTCTTTATATCTATTTAATATATTATCAATATAGGTATATAAGGTACTTTTATACTATAATATTATTCATGTTACTATACTCTATGATAATTATATATAAACAAGCAAAAACATGATATTACCTATATTATTAGTTATCATGTAATATAGTAGTATATAGTATTATAATATTCAAAAGTAAAAAAGTATATACTATTATATATATATATATTCTTATAATATATACATAAAATATGATAACTGAAGCCTTATATCATCTTGTCTATACTTATATATATTTGTTATAGGCTATGAATTATGTAATAAATTCTTATAATTACTGTAGTATATCAATGTTTATTTAATATAACATGTAAAATATAATATTCATAAAAATAGTCTATATATATCTAAATTTAAAAATAAGTCTTACCTAATATTCATGTCATCTATTATATATAAGTGTCCTAAATAAATATGATATATGGTGTATTATGATAAATGTCAGATAATTTCAATAATATTATACTGAGATATAAAATATATAAATAAATAAATAAATAATCTTCAATGTATAATTATTATATATGTATCATATGTTATGTAATAATGATATTATATATTTATGGTTATTATGTGAAATATATATAGTTTAATATGAAGTAATATAAAATTGAATATATTTGGTCATATTTCATTATTGTTAATATATATATATTTTTATAACTAATTACATATTGCATTAGTAACTAACCTGTATTATTATCTGTACACTGATATTCATAGGTATATTCTGCACCTGATATATGCTATTATCAGTGTACCATTTTTACTAAAATCTATACTCATGTTCTATTATATTGCTTCTTATCACTTACTATATTGTCTTTATAGGTCATTATCTTTATATATGCTTAATAATATGTACTTTAATCTTTAATATACTGTTAATAAATTTTTTTTTTTTTTTTTTTTTTGGGATATATATTACTAATATATATATATATTTATTTATCTGTATTTGTCTATTTCTATGTATATATGTATTTATATGTATTTTTATATATGTATTGGTAATGGATGCTTTAATATTCTGCATGCTATTATATCTGTGAACTTGTTAATTTTTTACTTATTTTTTATGTATAAGCTTTCTCTAATTAGTTTTGTTTTTATTTTAG